CCAAACCACCTCCCAAAACAGTTGCCCTGTAAGCACAAAATGCAAAGCTTTGCTTTGCAGTCAATCCTTTAGCTGTTGCCTAAAAGCCACGTTGTCATGCACGGCAAAAAGCATCATGTTTTCTCCTCCTTGGGCCAGAAACCAACAGAAGGGAAAAGAAAGCACATGACTTACGTCCCTATGGAAAACTGGAGAGGAGTATAAAACTGGATATGGCCATAATGAATTATCTCCTCGCTGAAGCTGCTCAGGAGATACTTGAGGCTCATGTGGGTGCTGTTTGTAAAGCTGCATAAAAGTCCAGGCTCAGAGACATCTTTTTTTCAGCACCGTACATTATCTCAGCTGTAAACAAGTCACCCAGCGTGGATCAYGTCAAAGGGAACACAGCGGGAATCCTCGTGACTTGGAATACTATMTGCTGCAAATGGTCCTCATCCAAAGAGCACCTCTCTTGCCTCTGATAAAGTCCCTTCGTTGCCACAGGGACAGAAAAAACAAACACCTGAATAATGTAAACTGGTGGTAACTCTATTTTTCCCCTTCTGTCTCCCAAGCTCCAGCTACTTCATAAATCTGAGCAGAGCACCAGAGCAGACTTCCATGTCAGGGGAGGGGAAGGCATAAATCACAACACTTGAGAGAACATGTGTGAATATCTCCCCTCCAGCAGATCCTCACTCMTTGTGGTCACAAATAATGTGCAGCATCAGCTGTTTGACATCTTCCACGCACAAGCCTTCCTCCAGAGCCTAAGGGGGCTGCAGACACGGCCGAGTTCCCCTCTGCAAGCCCCCAAAACCTGAGGGCTGCTAGGAACTGGAGGGAGATCCTCTCTGTATCTGCTCTGGCTTTCTAGCCTATTGCTGAAAACCTGCTGCTGCACATCCCAGGCAGGACACAAGGCAAGATGCATGRCTGCACTCATTTCTTCTGTGTTCCTAAAGAAAAGCAGGAGGTGAAAGAGATGCCTTGCTCTCAACAAAGCACTGGGAAGTCCCACAGGGAACAGCAAGGGGTTATTTCCTAAAAAGCCTAATTCACCTTCTCATCAGCTCTCATTAGCTGGAAAAAGAGTCAGGGACAGTCTCTGATCTACAGCAGCTGCCACCAGCTGCTCTGAGGAGGCAGTCACAGGAGCATCTCCAGGGCATTAGACACCAGGCAGCATCTGGCGCTGGGTGTCAAGGACCAGGAGGTCACCTGCAGGGTGCTGCTTCACGTGATGCTTCCAGGTGCTGGAACAAAGGCAGGTTGGGCCCTTCTCCTTCAGCCTTGCAGAAAGCTTCAGTGAACACAGTGAGGTCACTGGGTGCTCAGGGAGAAGCAGAGACACATGGCATAGTGTCCAATACCTGTAATTCCTTCTCCAAAATGAATTATAAATCTAATTCAAATGAATTCAAAAGAAGACAAGAATCTAATGGGAAATGGTTCCTAGCTCAACCTGCGGCTGAATTTAGGTGAATCTAGGGGCTGTTACCACAACTGCTGCCACAGATCAAGCTGGAGACACCTGCAGGGACCAAAGCTCCAGCACATGCAGGGGTGGCCCAACCCTAAGCCTGGAAAAGGCCAAACAGAAGCAGGCCGGGCTCAATATGCCATGAAGCTGGTAGTGATGGGCCTCACTGGGCTCCTCTGAACAACACAGGGCCAACGTGGATGCTGCACACCAGGATGACAAACCTGCTGTGTCCCTCTGACAGGGATGTAAAACTCATGTGCAAAGGTGTCCGGTTCCTCACCCTCCCTTCAAACAGACCCCGGCACTCGTGGGTCTGACCCGGTGAATGCCTGGCCTCGCTCTGACCTTTCCCCACCAACCCATTCAACTCCCCTGAGCCTCCACCCAGCCATGGCGCGCGCGTCCCGCGGGGCTGACACGCACCGCCACACACGCAGCGCTTCATTGAAACCCCCCCAAGTGACAAGGAGCGTTAAGCAGCTTTAAAGGACATCAGTCATTCACCCATCTGGTGGAAAGCCTGGTCGCTGGCCGAGAACAGAGTGGCTCGTGACGGCAGGGGCTGCCATATGGCACCATTATGCGTCTCCCTGCGCGGGCCTGCTCGTAGCGCGGGGGAAGGCCTCAGCCTTTGAAGAGGTGCCGTATTGTGAGCTGGGGTGCACGGCAGCCTCCGGAAAGGGGCCGTGGCAGATGGCAGGGCTTTGTTCCCGGCTCGGAGCAGTGGATATCCCCCCTCACGCAGCGCCGATGTCCGCGGTCCGAGCACTGACCAAAGCCTTTGCAGGGCGAGGGACAAAGGGAAGTGTCTCAAAAGGGGCCAGTGCCCCCCTTGAGTGACATCCCAATAATGCTCAGATGAAAGCCTGGCTTGGATAAAAGGTCATTTGACCTCAGGGCCAAAAGCGTAGGAAAGGGAACAGGCCTCTCTGGGAGGAACCATTGATGACGCCTTAACCAAGGCAACGGTATCTGCATGTTCCCCGAGGCAGGGAAAAGCAGCGGCCTGCTGGATATTCACCGCTGGGATGGGATGTATCGTCCTCACTATCCAGGTTGCAAGTGGGGCACCTCTTCCTARCTAATCTGCTCACATCTGCGTCTGGACAAGAAACTGATCCCCCTTTTTTTGGTCCCTCGAGAAGTCCTTGGGAGCATCAGCATAAAAACACATCCCTTTGGCAGAAGCTGGAAGTCAAGCAGATACAATCCAAAGGATCCATCGGGCAGCCCCACACAAAAGCTCAGGAATGTGAGTTGAGCTTTTAGGTGACMAGGCCTTGGAGAGACCAATGCTGCTCTAAAACCACCTGCACCCTCTCATCCTCTGCCCTTAGTCTAAGGCAATCATTGATCAATTATGCTAAGGATGTCACGCAAACAAACACATTTTTACAATTACCCTAAGCCCAGAGAATTTTTCACAAGATGGATTGAAAGAGAAGAAGACTTTGCTCTCTGAAGTGCACAACAGCAAAGGACATGCACAGCAGAGAGCTTGCTGCACTCAAGTTTCTTCTCCATGTATCAACCAAATTCCTTCACTGTGTCCCAGTAGAGCTTCAAGCTCTACCAGGAGACAGGACATCTGCCAGGCCCAGGACATCTYGAATGCAGGTCACCCGCAGTCCAGGGCTGGAGGGAAGGAGCAAAAAGGCACTGTGAGCCTGGCTGAGATACATACGGGTGCGTGAGTGTGCAGGCACCCACGTGAGTGTGCAGGCATGTTTGGGTAAGCTCAGAAGTGCCAAGGATACCAGGAAAGCCCGCAGCCTTGTGGGAAAGGCACAGGACAGGAATTCAGATCTGGAATTGCCAACTTTCTGCATGACTTTGGGTTCATCCCTTCACCTCTCTGTCTCAGGCCCTTCTTAGAGCAGAGGACACAACACCACCCACMTTCATCCCCCTGTCTCAGCTGGATGGCATTTCCACGCTGATTTAGAGGCACATGAATATTTTCTAAGTTTTGCACCCCACTGCTGACAGGGGCCATTCCCCAAGTTCCCTCCATCTGCAGCCTACGGCTCACTGGAGCTCCTGGCCAAGGATTGACCTCAGCTGGCAAAGCCTCCAGAGCCTCTCTAGCTCAACCCCATTCACCCGGACAACTGGGCTCTTCCAAGGGATCTCTGTTGGACAAAGCGGGCACAAGGAGCTGTTGAGCACGCAGGGCCCAGCAGCAGCTGGACTGACACGTTTTCAAATGCCGTCTTTCAGCAGGCATAAAAAYCAGACCGGTGCCTCCAAGAGCGTCTCTGTCTCCGATCCAAGCCTTACACAGAGGGGTTATACAGAAACAACAGGACACTTTCCAAGCTGCTTGACCAGCAAGGAAATCAAATACCCGACACCAACAAGGCCAAATCTGGAAAGATCCTTTGAGATCCCTGGGCTGACCTGAGGTGCCGCATGCAGCTGTCCTGGGCTCCAGCACGTGAGTTTGGCAGATGTTTCCTGCAGCCTGCCTGGCAATGCCAAGCCTGCAACACAACAAGCTCTTATCTGGTTGGGGCAAGTCAGGCATTTTCCACTGGAAAGAGTTTCCACAGGAAAATTTCATCTTGCTAAGTCAAGAAGCAGCAGAACAAAGCAGTTTTTTTCAGGCTGAACAAATCAAATCTGATTGACGGTGGCTTACCAGATGGCTACAAGAACACCTCATACCCTGCTGAAGGGATGGCTTCTCCCTGCCACGGGACACCACTGYAGAGGTATCCATGTCTGGGAACCTCCTGTCATGCAACCTCCCCCGTGGAGCAGGTTGCCTGGGCAAGTGCAACTCTAATAACACAACCTAGAGCCCTCTTCAGCTCCAGCTTGTGCCCYATCTCTTCCCATGGGTGATCCTCAAGCACACCCCACTATGAGCAGCCATCTTCTCCTCCTGCGGGAAACCTGCGGGATGGGACAACCAGGTGGCACAGAGATGGCACCAGTTGAAACAAGCCAAGTCTTAGCAGCCTTCTTCTGGAAGAGGCCCAGCATCCAAACCACCTGTATGGTTGGTCCAGGCATTCAAGGAGCATCATACCCAAAACCAACATCACAAGCAAATGACCTCGCTGCTCCAGGGCTCTTAAGCTCCTTCCTCCAGGGAGGCTGAAACCACTTAAAGCATCATCTGTGCTGGCAGAGCCTGCAACCCCCTGGGACCAATTGCACCCACCTGGTTGGAGGCACACACGCAATCAGCTCAAAAAATCAATACTTTGTAAGCAAAAGCAGAAACTGCCACATGGGAAAGTGAGGGGAMGAGGCTGGCTGCAAGAGCAGGGCTAACTCCAGGACTGACAGCCATCTAGCCCTGACTTTCAAAGCATGGTAGGTATTTCAGGGACGAGCACAGCACGCTGGAGTTCAAGGTTCGGCACAAAACCACTCCAAACATCAGGTTCCCACGATCCCTTTGCATGAAAACTTCCTGAAAACTCATAACCAGCTCTGCCTTCATTGGAGAGAATAAACGGGGGGTAAAATAAAAAAAAAAAAATAAAAAAAAAAAGAGGAAGAAGGAAAAGGTCCTACTTACCACCAGCTCAGTGAACATGACGTCCAGTTCTTCCACGGGCGGCATGGGCAGCGCGGGCTCCATGGTCTGCAGGGCAAAGCTGCTGTCATTGCGAAGCCGGTACGTGATCTCCGGGTGGTCGCTGCTCCGAAAGCAGCAGAAGATGAACGAGATCCCTCGGCCGCTTCTTTTCCTTGGGGCCATGGCCAAAATCCTCTGCGTCCCTCCCTCCAAGGTACTAGATCCTGGGGGAGAAAAACGAGGTCTGAGTTCTTGCTCCGCAGCGCGGCGCCTCCCGTTACTTGAAGAGGAGGAGGAGGAGGAATCAAAGCCACCCACATGGACAAAGCGGCGCAGAAGAAAGGGGATGGTTTACGTGCCAAATAGTTCCCGTTCAGCTTGGACATTTATGGTTCGGGCAATCTTGCATTTTCGCTGCCCTCGGCCCCCCTCCTGGAGCAAAGCACTGCAGATCACTGGCACACTGCTCCCGCCGGTCCGACAGGCACAGCAAAACCCTCTGCAAGCTGGTCACCGAGGGGTGACAAATTGGGCAGGCAGCTGCTGGAGCAGCTGGATCCGCTCGATGCCACCACGTAAACAAACCCCAGAGCTTCGAGGACAACCAAGTGCGGCAATTACATGCGGTCCTGGAAGTCCCAAGCTGCAAATGACTGGGGATGGCAGGGGGGAAATGTCATCTATTCTCATCCCACCCCAAAACATCGCCCACTTCCAGCCGCTCGCTGGGTGGATCTTTTTCAAGCCAGGTCTTTATTTGGTTTTAATTAAGATAAACCCTAGCTGCAATCCCTGTAAATATTTATGAGACGTGATTTCAGCTGATAAAATCACACAGTGTTGGTACTTCAGACTTTCCTATGTGGTGTTTATGTCCTGCCTGCCTAAGTGAGTGGTTGGTTTGCTCGGTTCTCCTGACTTCTCCAACCCACACAGCAGGTAGAGGAAATGAGCAGCAACGAGCCACACAGAAAACACCATGCAAACGCCAAGGATCTGCCAAATAACAGATTACTGCACCAAAAAAAGTTGCCATCCAGGACAGAAGCCCACAGAAAATTAGGAGGACCACTCACAAGGTGCCAGCCCGGAAAAGAAACATCCCAGCAAGCAAACTGACCAGCAAAATRGGATTTTTAAGGAGTTTAAACACCAGCTTACAAATACATGGCTGTACACCTGTGCTCTGACCCAGCACAGCCATCCCCAACAGCATTTGCAGCAGCAAATCTCAGCTACCCACCATAACGTCCTTGCAGATAATTCAGGCTTTACATGATCAAACGAGGATCTGACCCTTGAAATTGTTTTTGACCAAGTACTTTTAACACACATCAAAATCARCTAAGAGAGATGGGAAGTATTTCTTCTATCTTTATAGAAGAAAATCCTGGGCTGTGGGATTGCTCCATGCCCAGTCTAGAAGGTTCCCTCCSTTGCATGAGCCCCGAACCTCATTTCACATCCAGCATTTTGCATCTATAAAATTGCAGCCATTTGAGGAATTTCAGCTGCCACGAAACCTCTCTCATCACAGCTCCCAGGCTGCCAGCACCAGAGCAAATCCATTAGGCTTCTGCTGGAATCCGTGAGTTTCTAGGAGGGATTTGAGACCCAGTGGGAAGTTTCTTTCCCAAGGTCAAGAAGGAGGGAAGGTAACAAAAACCAAGGACCCCGCGGTGCAGAAGACCTATGCATCAGGTGGAAAGGTGTCCAACCAAAACACCCCCACCTCGTCTTCCATGGGGCATCTTCTACTGCTTCTGACACCTCCTCAGCCTCATTTCTGAAAGCTGCTGATAGGGACAAGCCACAATTTGGGCTTACAAAAATGCAAGTGAAGCTTTTAGCAGAACACCTGCTCTTCAGAGATATGCGCTTCTGTCGCTGTTTAATGTGAAGTCTGAATGACAGAGCAAAAAGGCAAGATTTTATTTTAGGCATTAAACTAGACAGTCACGTAGTAACCAAGACAAGGTGTTTCTGAGCAGGCTCCAGCTCTGCAGCTATTGAAATTCCTAATGCTCACCAGAAACAATTAAAAACAATCCCTATAGCGCAGCCTGAGCGATCTGTAGGTCATTAGCAACAAAGACTAGAAATGGGAAGAGGAAGAATACGCCAGTTAGCAGGCAAACAGCGTAACCCTTAAGAACACTGATGAATATTCATTAATAGGATGGATAAAAATCAAAATGCTGCTTCCTGGCAGGTGCTTAAGAGCGTTTCAGATAGCGCAGGTTGCATCACCAGAGCAAAGTACAGGTGCAGAGACTTTTCATTTCTCTGTAAAGGCTCTCAGAATCAGTTGTATGTAGAAAAAAAAAAAAATGACATCTATTTACACCCCAGACAACTTACATTAAGCAAAGAAATGGGATCAGTTCCACACAGTGTCATATGTTAAATGCCCTGTTCCCACCTCCTATTTATGCATCTGACTTTAATTAGATCTATATATTTAAGTCAGACATTTAAGTCAGACCGTAGTCTAACAGTGCCTTGTGGCTTCTGCTATTAAGCAGGCCAGAATAAATTAAATTTAATTACCTCTGCACATGCACTGCAAGAGAAGACAGCACAGGAAGGGTCTTTGTGGGAACTTCTATCCAACCYTAAATGACATGGCAGGATCAACTAGCCTGAATCATTCCCAAACTGGTTTGTTTCTAAGGATACAAGTGCAGAAATGTGCCTGCAAGGAGCCTAGCCAGGACAGCAGAGACAAGGAGGAGAGGGGACAGTGACCATCAGAGAGGCAATATGAACTAGTTCTCACACTGATTCTGATCAAGGTCATCTCCACTAACCCACACCAGCTGTGCACCTGCAGGAATTTATACAGGACTAGCTTTATTTTGCAGGGAATTCAGCAACTTCTCCCCCTTAGGCAAGCGCAGAATTATCCCAGCTTGATCCTTTCACGACTATTGGGAACGCAGATTAAAACCCCATGTTTTSCCCAAGAACTCGTATGACAGATGGCAGGGGATGAAGAGAGAAGCTGAATTTTTGCAAGGTACCAGCACCGCGTGTGCTCCCAGGGAAGAGATGAATTTGTTTCAGTTGTCARCTGGCTCCATCCTGCATCCGCGCCTGGGCTTGCAACCCAGGGAGACCCAGCTGAGCTCCGGGAACTATCAGGGTAGAACGTCATTAATTACACAGGAAATAAAGCTGGAGGAGATGAGGGAAATCTGTCTTTCCTGAGCTAACAAATCATTCAGGCAACTAGACATGGAAATTGTGTCGCTGCCCCCCAACAACAGGCACTGGTGCAGGTAATGCATCACCTGGGGCAGCACCGGAATGGGGCACCCCCAGGACATCGCTCGCTTCCAAGGAGCCTGGGCTGAATTTTGGCACAAGCTTCTCCTGCATCATCCACCTCACAAGGGAGGAAATAAAGGCAGAGCTMCAGAGGTCTGCAAAGCTACTTCCCCGTCCTGTTCTGCATCTGGCAGGAGACGCTCTAGGAGCTACGTGGAATCTAGGAGCATCCCAAGTCCAGTGATGCTCCGGTGACACTTAAACAACAGGCAACACGGAGCCGCAGGAGATAAGAGAGGGCAGAGCCCAGGGAGGAGTGAGGCAGCTGGAAAATGTCCTTGGCTCTGTCCCTGGCAGCGACAAGACATTTGCCAGGGGATTGAAGTGGAGCAGGTGACCGCAGCAGAGAAGCGCTGGAGGGAAAGGCTGAGCAAGAGGAGATCAGGAGGAGAGGAGGGCGAAGGACGGCGAGGAAGGGCTTCCCAGCTTCATAAAATAGAGATCATAAAATAGAGATCAGGCTGCCCCCACCACCCTAATAAATAAATAATTAATAATTAAACAAATAAGCCTACATGGCCCTGAGCACTGCTTAATGAAATCAGTCATTAGGAGAAAATTGGACCCTGGTGTCGCTTCCTCCTTTGCTTCAAGGAAACAAGAGCAGCAATTAYCGCTTGAATATTCAACAGCTTCCCTGGCTGCCTGGATCAGCCCGCGCTGCCGGAGCGCGACCGCGACCAGTTCTTGGAGCAGAGTCCCAGGCTTTGGCGTCGGAGCAAAAATCCGGATCGTCACTGACCTGCAGCCAAAGGGACAACTCAGGTGGCCCTGGCAAAGACACCTCTGGCCACCGTGGTCCCCCCTGGCTCCTGTCAAGGGAATTCCAGCAAAGCCGGCATTGCAAAGGGTTGGAAATGTGGGCGGCATTGGAGGATGTAGCCCTGGGGCATCTCCATCCACYGACACCACCAAGACGGTCAACTAGGGAAGGTGCCACGGTGAAAATGCACTTTCTTAATTCTGAGGATAAAACCCAACCTTGCTGAAAGTGTCCTGGTCGGCGAGGCTGCAAGTGGCACAGAGCTGCCAAAAGAGGTCACAAGCTCTCGATTAAAAAGGGCAGATTTAATGTGCGAGGAGCTTCCTGCCAGCGCCAGGTCCTCTATCTACATCACTGTTTCTTACTTGAACTCTAGGAGATCTGCTTGGGTGAATGCCATTTATTTCAGGAACAAGGACAACAAATGTGCAACCATGGATAAGCCCCAGTTTGGGAACCTATATAAATATATATATATTTATTTTTCAGTGCTCACTAGGGTGCTGAGTGACCCGAATTCTAGAAATGGTGCATTTCTCCAACAGGCAGGCTCATCCGTGGTTCTTCTTTTGCAGAAGAAGCCTCAAAGGTGGGTAGAGAGGGGAAGAAATGTTTTTCATCTCATATATTCCTCCCCGACCCAGCATGGCTGCTAGAATAACCAGTGGAGCTCCTGGGGTGTGGGGAGATCCCCCCATTCTGCTCCAGCCTGGCTCCATCCCCAGCAAGGAGGATTTTCAGAGGCTGAGATCCAGCCTTGTTCCCTTTTTATCGCTGCTTTTACCCAAAACGTTCACATAAAGCAAAAAAAAAAAAAAAATGCCCCAAGGAGGCTGATCCTATCAGACTATTAAACCCACCGCAGCGTATCGTGCATTACATGTAATTAGCAGCACTTCTTTCTCTCCCAGATAATTAGAAAGCTCCTGATGCAGCAAGGGCGGGGACCACCTTCCAGCCTGGATCAGGGCTTGCCGGGGCTGCAAGGAGGAGGGCTCCCATCCCAACGTTTCGCTCTTCATCTCAAAGGATGCGCGTGCAAGTCGCATGGATCTGGATCCAGATCCTTTCTTGGAGGATGCAACGCCGGGGTCAAGGATAGCGAGTGGTGCTGCGCTTGCCGCTGCTGCA